AAAAAAAAAAAAAATGTATTGGTACTGAACCAGGCCCCTATATTAGTTCGACTGTTGAGCCTCGGCTGAATGTCAGGGGAAGCTCAGACTCGCAGCGTCTATACAACCCAAAGGCTCCAGCTACTTTTATAGTAGATAACCCTAAACCCTAAACCCTAAACCCTAAACCCTATACTTAGGCCTTATAAAGTACCTATATAGGGACCCCTTTAAGGCCGAAGTATCTACAAAACAAGGCACATGGAGCCTTTGGGCAATGTTCTCCGATGCAGCAATATATGGGCCTTCTTCATTGGAACAGGGGTTTCGGTGGTATATTCCAGGATGGGCTACAGTACAAAAGGAAGCTCTTGCTCATGATTAAGACCCATAAATTAGGATGACTGCTATCCGTAGTATGCAGGGTGAAACCAGGCAAATTGAGCATCAGCTGGCCACCATAGGCCTTAAATCGAATGCGAGGACTATTGTAACAGATCGCAGGGCTAGACATCTAATGATTTCAGACTCGAGAACCAATCGATGCAGACGTGAAACCAAGCATCGAGTTTCTTTGTGGTGCTCAACCCTGGTGTGAATTCAACTTGGGTGGAGCAAATGTTGGCAGCTTGTGCCAAGCAAGACATTTCTACCCGTGCTGTTGTCGTCCAAGAATGTGGGCCGGACTCATCGGACTCAAAAACCTTCGATTGTCGAGCTAAGGGTCCAGGCGCAGTATACTATATCTCTAAGTTCATTGGTTCCGAAATCATATTGGCTTCGACCGTTTACTTGAGAAGCGTACCCGTATGCCAGGTAGTAAAGCGCTAAGCGCTCAGGATTTGTCCCGGCCATACCAAAAAGAGGATCCGGTCACATGCTTGCGTCGGCCTAACTACAAAAACATGAGCTGGGAGAGTTCTCAGATCACAGTCCTCTGGATGCCTGATATAGGAGCAGTCGACATCTCCTTGCACTAGCTTGGAATGCCTAGAACTTTTCTGCGACTCTTTATGAGACTGTAAGAAGAACTTGCAAGAACATGCTCCACCATCACAGCAGGCCTTCGTTCGAAAGAAATCCCCCGCACGGAGAGCCATGTTTATCGGCTCGTGGATCTAAGACCGCCGACTCATTGAACTCTGGTTCGGCTTATGGCGTGTGGCGGGATGCAGCTGCGCGTGCAGCTTCATGAACATGTCGGCTCTGTGGAACGCTACTACTGGTGCTTATAGCTAACGGTGACCACAATTCTCTTAGTACCTGCATTATACCCTGGCTATTGTTGTTACATCAGTAGCGACTGTAATGGTCATAGTTATAGTATGTTATAGTTGTTGTTACGAAGAGATATGCGGACTCTAGCCCCAGTCACTTTCCACCCAGATCAGGTACGTCTTCTTCGGGGGCTTGAAGCCTCAGCAGCCAGCCGATTGAGGCTGGAAAAACGCTGACTGGGCGGTTCTGGGCTCCAGGTATGGGGCTCATGGCTTGGAGCCTTACCCAGGGGCTCCAATGTAGTACCTGTTTGGGTCTGTTATGGTTTTTTGGTAGGGAATTATAGTATAATATCAAAAAAGGAACTACACAGGAGCCCTTGGGTATCAACCCTAAACCCTAGCGTTCCGGGTATAGGGCTCTTGGGAAGCGCGGAAGCTTTGCGGGCATCCTTCGATCTAAACCTATAAACTCTCAACCTTCCGGATGCGCGGGACCGAGATCCTCCCCGAAAGAGGTCATGACAAAGAGAACGGGGGGGTGACTACAAGAGCTATTGCAAGGGCTTAGTATGCGGGCCTTAAGAAAAAAGTGGTTTCGAGAATGGCCACGCATCGAGTCAAACATGTGATTCAGATCACTGAACCCTCAGCATTCTCTATAGGGCTGCAGCTACCTAAATACTGGGCATTTGTTTTTTGTTTTTAAGTAACTGCAGCCCTGGAAACTACGCACACCAGAAGCCGAAGCACTCTGGCCCTGGGGTTGGCCGTAAATTGCCCTCTGAGACCGTGTACCCATAGGCCCCATAGTAGTTCCTTTTGGGGGTTCATATTTAGAATCCTATAATGTAATCCCAAAAAGGAACTACTATGGGGCCTATGGGTAGAAAGCATGCTGAGCTCTTCAGCGAAGGAGCTGAAGGCTATCCCGCGGCTCCTAGGCAGGCAGGATATCGGCTCAGCTAGAAAACCGGAACGCTTGGGGGTTGTGAATCAAGTATAGCTATACTCCAACAAAGACAGGAATGTATGTGTACAAAAATAGTTAACCATGGATAGAAAACAAAGGAAGACATAAGAGTGTGCATATATGCACATACATATATGTACACGCACACACAGACAAAAAACAAGCCAATGAGAAAGCGTGTTAGAGATCGCAGTGACGAGGATTAGGATGACGACGTGGAGAAGGAGAACCTTTCACTTTGACGGACCCATGGCTAGAAAATTGTACCTGCAAAGGGAACGACACTTCGGCTGCGTCTAATCTCGAATCTCTTGACCTGAGGGCCAGAGGGACGGAAGTTTTCCAAAAGCCCATCCGCCGATGCTCCCGAATTGCAGAGAAGAGCCCACCCAAACCACACAAAGGTCTTTAGTCTCGATCATCGACTCAAAAGGCTCTTTAAGATGGACACCAGGCTCAAAGACCTAACTGCCTGCGTGATACCGACAACAGCAATGAATCGAGGCATGAAGAACACCACCGGCTACTACCAATGCTGTGTCTTACTGTGCTTCCTATCACTATCAGTATACTATACCATCACAAAGCCCTATTCTAACATAGGGCTGTTCTTATGGCCGTAATATACAATGCCCCAAATCTGCATTGGGCCTTGCTAGCTTTTAATGGGGTCTTGGAGCTATGTTATCGTATAGTTTACAATAAATCAAGCTTAAGGAATAATGTTGCTAACCATTCAGGCTTCTATATTGCTGCTTCTAGATCGTAGAGCCCAAGGTAGGTGCATTCTGTATAGATGGAGCCTTGGAGGAAAAAACCCACCAGCCTCAAAGTAGCACATCAGTGATCTGCCAAGCATCGTAAAACATCGGCAGCTGAGATCCCCTGGGTTGCTGTTGCACACCTCGGGTTCTTCGATGCTCGCGTTTGGGACTTTATGGGAGCTTGTTCATTCACTTACTTAAGTTTATATAAACAAAAAGGATGGCAAGAAACGCTACGAAACGACACTAGGAGTTCAGGGACAGGCCACCGCATACATGAACAGGAGAAGCGGGAGAATGGGAAAACAGCTGCCGTGCATCCAGGCATTGTGTAAAAACTGTAAACCTTGCCTGTTTAGCTTCCAGAACTTACAGCTCCGTCATGAAGTGCATACTGGACTGGAGAAACCAAGTCATCACAAACGAACAGCAGGACGGGTGACAACCTGATTCCTTGTGGCATACTTCCCTAACGCCCGAGCTCCCTCCGTCAGATTGCTAGTGGAAACTGAAGAGACCCTAAACCCTAAACCGCGCCTTGTCCAGGAAGTGCACCCACCGACATCGCTTGTCCAGGTGCTCGAAGATCCACCCCTCGAGCTCAGGCACCGGGAGCAAACTATGGAGGTTTAGGGTTTAGGGCTCGACGTAAACCCTCTCACCCAAACCCCAAGCCCTGAATCCGAAACCCCATCCTCACTTGGAGAGGCAGGCTTCCTGCAAATCGGACTCTGCGAATAATGGGAGACACAACGGCCTCTTTCTCTGACTTTGCTTAAATCAATAAAATATGTCGTTGCGCAACCGACATTGCTTGCCCAAAGGGTGCTAAGTACCTATATAGTAGAAAGTAGCGCTTCATAGGGTGTCTATGGTGAGAACTATGCTTATGTTGCAGTTGAGGTTTGAGCACGTTGATGGACGGTAGTAAGTTTACGGAAAGCTATGAACCAAGCTGACTCATTGGGGTTAGGGTTTAGGGCTCAGGCGGTTCAGGGTCTACTTTCCCAACTACAGGTCCCAGATGCTGTGACTTTGACGCATCTTCTGAGATGACCGGTGCTTTCTTGCTCGTATTCCTCCAGAAGAACAGCCCAAACACGATGATGCCAATATCCATGAAAAAAGCCCAGACTCTCGTCAAAATGCGAATATGAGCCATAAGCCCTAAACTTTGAAGGAATTGGCCTACGTTCGGTCTTTAAAGCCACTCAGCGCCCTCCTGCCTGGCAGTCGACCACTTCGTCACAGCCTTTGCAACCTGGCAGACCGAAGTGGCACATCTGCAAAGGACTCAGGGCGCCCTTGAGTTCAGCATGCTAAGTTGGGCAGCCTTCAGGCTAAGCACCGCGACAGACCTGCAAACCGCCCATCCTCAAAGACAGCACCGCGCCCCCAGACCCAGAGCAAGCAGTAAGCCCAGAAACAGTCGTCGAGGGTTTCCGCCAAATCCATCTTCCTGGATCCTGCAACGGTGTGCGGCTTCGGATAAAGGGTCTCGCCGGGGCTTTGGCAAGTATGTCCTGCTTAAAAGTGGGCTGCGAGCACTTCCCAGGTGCTGCCTACGGAAAAACGGGATATGTTGTACACAGACGGTCTGAGCTTGGGTCTAAAAGCCATACTAGAAAACCAGTTGCCTGTGCACACTGTTACCAAACTCGTTTACAAGGGGCCTGCATCCTCCTAGATATAATGTTGGAGTACACAATTAATAACATTATCAGTGCTACTAGTGGTAGCACCACGTGCAGAGCAATGACATAGATTAGTTCGCTTCTGAGATAAACGACAACTCCTTGCTGGACTCATAGAAGCACTAAACCCTTAAACCCCAACCCAAACCCATAAACCATAAGCCGCTGACCTTTTTGGGCACATGGAGTCTCCTACTGTACCCTAAACCCTTGTAGAACGCCTTGTACAAACCCTGCTTGAGTACCTGGAGTCTTAAATCCTAAACCCTAAACCCTCAAAGGCACCCTGTATGGGCTCACTGGCGTCTTGTAGGGTGTCCTGTGGAAGGATCTGTCACGTTGACTCCAGCAAGCTCCTTGGCTGCTGAGCAAGGGGCAAAAAAACATGATGACAATAATCATGGAAATAAACATTATCGTAATAGTAATAGTAAAAAATTAGAGACAAGAAAATAACAACAATCACATCAACTATTGTACGAATATTAACAATAATAATGACAGAACGCATGATGATACTAAGGTTTGGGCTCTACCTTTAATGGAGCCCGTCTGTTCCTTAATTTGGGAATCTAAGGTATCATGGAGGTAGTGGGGGGATCTAGGCAGGCTTAAGAAGATGTCGAAAGGCATCTGGGGCGATTCAGATGGGGTTTTGTTGGGGATGTGGCCTCCCCGAGCATTGATTCCGGGGTGAGTTTCGTCCATTCTTATATGGAAACCTCGGCTGATGTCTTCGCCGACCCTTGCACACACCTAAGCTTCCAAGGACAGTGAGAAGCCACACAAAGAAATTCACGGGCCTTCATGAGTAGAACATACAGTGCTTTCGGGTATGCGATGCCACTTGTTTCGACAAGGACCCGAAAGAATAGTCCCTGGACCTTAACCCTAAAACCCTGAAACCTAGAGACAGGGACCCCAAGGAGGAGGATTACGAATGACCCTGAAGGATTTGGTCTTTCCAAGCCACACACCCAAAGGTCAGAATGTCCAAACATCCTAGCGTTTAGGGCTTAGGCTTTTGGGATTAGGGTTTGTTGGGGGTTTAGGCTTTGGGGGTGAAGGTCTAGGGTCTACCCCGAACCCTGAACCGCCGCAAACACATCCAGCATCGACTTCCCGCAGCAACCCGGACCCTAAAACCTAGACTTGGTTACATGGCTTTCCATCTGATTCACGATTTTCTCTGAAGTCGTCGGTTGAAGATTTCGGGCGGAGGTGCAGCAGTGAAGGGCTCTGTGTATCGGTAGGCTATGGCTTCACTACAAAGTTTGAAACCCCAGAAGCCTGAAGCCACACAAATGTATGTGTGTGTGTATATATATATATATATTCTTTTATTTATTTACATGATACACACATATAGAAACCATGGATCGATCGACAGATGTATGGATAGATGGAGAGAGGAGCGAGATAGATGGACAAATGGCTAGACCGATAGATAGATAGATAGATAGATAGATAGACAGATAGACAGATAGACAGATAGACAGATAGACAGATTGATAGATGGATTGGTCGATAGATGGATAGATTGCTAGATAGATAGATGGATAGATGGATATATGGATGGATGGATGGATGGATGGATGGATGGATGGATGGATGGATGGATGGATGGATGGATGGATGGATGGATAGATAAATGGATGGAGGGATAGCTAGATAAAAGGATGGATCGATAGATAGATGGATCGATCGACAGATAGATGGGCATATATATATATATATATACAGATATAGATAGATAGATCGATAGATAGATAAGAGCCCAAAAGCTTGCAAAGAGCAACAGCTCCAAATGTACCAAGCCACCCAGGCCGCACAGGTGCTCGTGCCATTCTGGGCTGCGGAGCCTTTAGAATCGCTGGTGGGCTTAGGGTGTAGGGTTTAGGGTTTCGGGTACAGCTTTCGGGTTAGACATAGGCGCTTTAGCTTCTAGACATTGCTACACTTTTTTTGGTCATAGAGTTAGGCGCTTTATGTAGGGTTTAGGCAGTTTATAATAACCGTTGCTTCTATAATTACGAGGGATCCCAGTGTCCTCACCTTTGGCCCTGAATCCTCAAGAGGGTTCACTCAACAGACTGCGTCCGAACAAATGCCAGGAAAGGCAATCAAACCGTGCTCCACTCGCTGCTGAGCCTGCGCCCTGTGCTACCCCACTGAGCTGATAAAACCCTAAACCGTTTAACCACCAAGCCCTATAAACCCAAAACTCTAAACCGTTTCACCACTAAACTCCTATAATCCCAAAGCCCTGCTATGGCAATTGCGACCCACAAGTCCTCAACTTAAGTCCTCGACTCCGGAACCCTTGAGTTCTAGGAGGGTCCCATGGCAAAGGTCCAGTGCTTTTAGAGATTTCGGGGAGCCTAGAGTTTAGGGGCCTTATAATAGCTACCTATACTATTTTGTGGGGGGGGGTCCTTATTGTAACTGTAGTATTTAATATACCCCCAAAACCCTAGCCTAATTTTTCAGGCCCCTACATTATTCTGAGCCCGATCAGCTTGTGTCTTTCAGCTCTCTTTCTAGAAGTTCGGAGAGTTGTCCTTCTGCGAACTGCAGGAGGGTCCTGGAACAGTAGCACTTCTTCGAGTTGCGAAGCTTCAACCCTAAACCCTAACATTCTAATGTCGGGGCCTTAAAAATTTGAATAGGGTTTTGGGGGCTCCGTAATATAACTTTAGTAAAATTTACTCCCAAGCCCTATTGTAATTATCAAGGCCCCCATATTACAACCCCCAAGCATGGACAGCTTTAGCGGCACTCTCCAGTCGGGCAGTCTGGGTTGCCGAAGATATCGCTCAACCTCTCCCTCTCACGGACGCGAGTCGCTCATGCCTTCTAGACCTGTAGGGTGCGCTCCTTTTTCGGTCCTCTCGACTTAGCCCTAGTGTTTAGGGTTTGGGGCCCAAAGCCCAAGTAAACAACACTATTCATTTTACAGTGTCCCCTACTTTCCGAAATTCGAAACCCTCTTCAGGATCCTAACATCTCTGGTTCAGGTTGTTGGGGGTCCGGTGGGCGCGAGTTAGGGATTCCGGGTTAGGGTTTAGGGGTGAACGGATTTCCCAAATAGTATGCCTGAATATACGGAGGTCCGAGAGCAATCATTTACACCGAATTTTCAAGAGAACCCCCGACATTTCTTCCCAGGTGCACGAGGAGAGGCGTTCCTAACAAAGGATGGAACGCGTCAGCATCCGCGCTATGGGGGTTTGGAGCGTCAGTCAGGGTTGAGTCAGGCTTTAGTGTAGAATTTCGGAGCCCTATGCCCATCCTGTGCTCTTGGGTTTGGGATTCCCAATCCTAAGATGTTCGGGCTCCGAACTTCGGGGCCTTGGGGCTGTGTAGCGGTATGCGGTGGTTTCTCAATCCCTGTGGAGCTCAGATCAGAAACCCTAATCAATGACAGCAGTAACAGCCACGGCAAAAAGCTGACAACCGACACCTCTGAATCATACAACCAAGTACGGCTGTGTAGATAAAGTAGCGAAATCGTATGTACGTATGTATGTACGTATGTCTGTATGTATGTATGTCTGTATGTATGTATGAAGCAATAAATACAAACAAAGGTACGTATGCACGCATCAAATGTATGTATTCACATTTTCCGTACATGTCTGTACTGATGTGTGTGTATACATGCATGAATGCATGCATGCATGTGTACATGATGGATGTATGTAACTAAGTACGTAGTTGTGTGTGTATGAATGTGTATGTATGTATATATATATATATTGATAAACACTTGCTTGGCAGTTATCTATTCGCTGCGCTACTTCCTTGTATGTGTCTTTGCCTACCTACTGATCCTTGATCAGTATATGATATACACAGTCATTGGATCCCCCTGTGTTGGCCTCTTGGGGCGGCTTGATCACTGCGCGCGCCACGAAGGCGGAGGCAACTGCCGAAAGTAATGCCAGCGAGATGCCACCTGGAGGTGAAATTTGGGCTCCCCAATAATCTTTCTGTCCAAACCGAGGAGGCATGCCCCTGGACTCTAATTAGGCATACTCGCTTGTTTAGACGGTGCGATGCTGTAGAAATGGGACAACAAAACCACAACCAAAACTTGCCGAAGCTACTACCACCACTGCTCCTGCTCCTGCTAGTGCTACAGCTTCTCTGTGGCTTCAAGATCGAGAGGCACTTCCTTTAAAGAATCTACCCAAGGGTTTAGAGACTCGAGTACAAAAGCAAATATCGCGAGGCCTTCCTTGTATGACTCTCCATCTCATTCTTGCGACTCTCGGGCCGCGGGCCCAAACCGAAGCATGCGACCCTAATACTATCGCGAAGCTTCCAACCAGTACTCTCATCTGACGGCAACTTGCACTGCATTGAGGGAACCGATTTCGCTGTCAGCTTGCAACATCCTGCATTGGCATTCACAAGCCTTTGGCTCGGAACAGCTTCAGCGATTTCTCGGCTATACAAGCGTTGCAACTGCAACAAAGGAACTGCCTCGGCAATCCTGGCAGCATTGATTCGTCTACAAAGGCGACGTTTCGCTCTTTGTCTCTCTCCCTTCAGGAGACCAGTTCTTCGGGAACCTGGTGCAACATGCGCGAAAACGCGGCATGAATTCAAAACGCGTGTTCCTATGCAGTAGGGCTGGTTGCGCTGTATGTGATGCATCACCTGAACTTTACCTGAGTCATGCTACGGGCTTCTAGGCTTCTAGCGTACTGTGCTGCAATATATATATATATATATATATACACATATATATATATATATATATGTGTGTGTGTGTGAATGTTCAACCTCATGACTGTACTATTATGCGTATACACCTCAAAGCATCACGGCTCACCAGCACATGTCGACCTTGACCCGCTGGAAGTCTCCTTGGCAACCAGCCACCACTGCAGAATCACGTGACTAATACAGGGGCCTTAATAATTAGAATGGGTTTGGGGTATATAATACTATAGCTATAATCAGGAACCCCCAAAACCCTGCTCTAAGGACCCCTACATTGCGTGAGAAGGATCTTTAAATGGGAGTACCTGTGCAGAGGCTACGGAGAGCAACGTCTCAGACACTTCGAGGATAGGGGGCTTCGTAACAGCACCTTAGTTGTGGTCATCTTAAGTAAATCTAGGCCTACCTTCGAGGTCCCCTGTTACCCTCCCCTCCCTCCCCCCACTCGCCACAACAAAAAACACCAACTCCTTCAAGGATTTTCCAAAGGAACCTACGCAATTCTGCTACCAGAGTCTCGTAGGTCCCCCGCCTCAGAGGTTGAACAAAGGATTGGGCTGGAGATCTTAAATAATTTGGCTTAGGGTTTATAGGGCTGAAGGAATTAGAGAGATTGTTGGTTCTTTCAAGGCTTCTATAGTCCGGATCCTAAGCAGCTGGCGATTTGGATCCTAAACCGCCTAAACCGGTAGTGCCCCAGTTCCCTGAATCCACTTGTCGTCTGATAGATATTCTGTCGCCCAGCGGCTTCAATGAAAGGCCGGTGCTGTGGGAATCCGGCGGATGCTCCGATAATAATCGCCTCGCGATTCCGGGCACATGAGGTCGAAGCTCGCGTCCCCGACTGTCTAAGTCTAAATGAAGCTTCCACGCGTTCTTGGCATATTCCGCCAGAAAGCTGAAGGAGACGCCCGAGTCCGGGCCCTTCTCGAAACGGTGCTTGCAAAAGAGGCAAAACCTCGGTGAGATTTCGGATTCCTAGTTCGTTTTTTTTCCCTCTCGCATGAATGAGGTCTATACTCACGGCGAGGTTCAATATGGGGTTCAAAGAAAGTTGAAAGTGAAGTGGAAAGTCAGTGGTTAAGACTCTCGACTCAGCTCCCTCATTTATTCGTAGTTCGTGGGATTGGGGGTTGGAGCGGGAATTTGGGGAGATTTCGGATTCTTTGGTTTGGTTCGGACTTTCGTAGGAGGATCAGGGGACCCTCGAAGATATAGGCCCTCTCAATAAGGTCCCTTTTGAAGAGAGCGTCCCCCCTTTAAGGCGTCTCCCGGGATACCTGATACTATCCCCTAAACCCTAAACCCTAAAGCCCCAAAGCCTCTATACCTAGACCTAGGATTTCGCAACTTGGGCTCTCCAGGTGAGGCTGTTCGTGGTTTCGAGTGTGCGGAGCTTTGAGGACATGTCGGATTCGAGCCAGGGGGGAGCTCGCTTAAGGGGTATATAGCCAGGTAGTCTCCATAAACCCCAATAACTTACAAGGGTCCCTATTAAGGGTCCCTCCTAAAGCCCTTAGCTCGCTTCTGTCTATCTTTTAGCATTGTCGGAGACGTAAGCAGAACAAAGCTCATGCTGTAGGTGCTGGTGAGAGTATATGGTTATATACTTTATTTGGGGCCATAGGTTATATAATTTATTTGGGGCCATATAGGGCTTATAGGGCTTATAGGGTTACAGACAGACCCATCATCCCTAAACCGAAGCGGCTGCAACGAAGGCCTGTAAACTCACACCCACGAGCTTATGACAAGCCGCAACATGGAGGCCGGTGTGAAACAGAGCTCCTTGTTTTCTGATTAGTTGTCGCTGCATAAGAAACGCTGCGATTTCAGTTGTAACACCTGCGTCTTTAAGGGTGTGCAAGCATTTAAGACATTGGGGTCAGGGGTTTAGGGTTCAAGGTCTTCCAGGAGAGTAAAAGTGAGCTTAACGCACGAACCTCTTTTGCACAAATCAACCGAAAGCACGGAACTCTCCGACTCCCAACCCCAATTTACAACACATACAAAAAGCCTTTTAGCATATAACATGGTAGAATGTGCATGTATATACATATATATATATACATGTATGTATGTAAACACACATCTTCTATGTATAATTATGTATATGTATATATAGGCTACATAATAGAACGACGACGAACTGAAGACGGCCAAAGCCCTGAAGCGCCAAATGTCAGCCACAGCAGCGCTTCCAAGTCCAGTTCCCCTTTTCCCTGGCTCAGGTTCAAAAGGTTCAAGTGTAGGACGGTTGAGGGTTCTGGGTAGACAGGCAGGGTTGGTTTGGTAGTCCAGGGTGGGAGCTTTACAGATTTGGAGTTCGGCACACCGCGTTTGGATCGGCTTCAGCTTCATTCTCTTTGCGGCCTGTTGCAGGCGAGTCACCTGTGACAGAAGCGCTTCGGCGCGTTGCAAGGTCCCGAAATGGTCGACGAAGAGGCAAGTGGTCTACGATCGACCCGTTGCCGCACTCACCAATGCTTGACTAGCTGGAACAGCAGTTCGCAAGCCTCAATTTCTAAAGCCAACCACCTGCACTCGTGGCAGAAGCCCTCAGCATCCTCCAAAACCCTAAAACCCTAAACCCTGAAACCACCGAAGAACAACGAAGGACAGGAGAGCTGCATGAGCGTTTCTGCCTCCCTATCGGCATCGCGCCATAGCACAGCGATCCGCTCAGGAGAGAGATGGTGGCCAGGAGGGACCTGCTTTTAGGGTTTTTAGGGCTTTAGGGTTTAAGTTTAAGGGTCTAGGAACTCGGCCTGGGGGGTTTGGAGTACAGGGCCTATCGTATCAGTTATCATTACCTATATAGTTACATAAGAATACACCCTACAGCCCTGTTCGACATGAGGTCCGGACAAGAGTCTCGAAGTGGGCTCGCACGGCTATATCAGCGTTTTCTTGTGCTCGATGAGGTTTGCAGTTTTGGGTTTGGCATTGAGTTTTTTCTCTGTTTTTTCTGCATCATGGTGCCATGTAACTCGGTTCCGGGTTGATGAAACTTATGCCGCGCCCTGCGGGAGATTGACACAAATTGAGGGCTTCGGGGTTAGGGCTTAACCTGGAGGCTTTAGGGGCAAGGGCTTGAGGTTTTCGGTCGCGATTATTCAATATTGAGGGCCGCCTTCTGTCCACGAGCTTATATTAGCAAGCGGCTTCATATCTGAACTTCTGTCGTTTAGCTCCCAAGGCTTGGATTGCAGGATGCAGGATTCGCAGGTTCCAAAGGTTCTGCAGGGAACTCTCCTAACCCTCAAGTATGTAGTACTGCAATACTTCAGGCTACACCGCACACCTTCATCACAAAGTCGCCCAGCAAGGAACCCCTACTAGAGTTTATATGCCTTGATCGAACGGTACGGGAGCGCACCCCGCAGCACTGAAGTATCGTCCCTCTGTGATACTGTCCTAGACGCTTATTGATAGCATTAAGTACCCTGACAGTACCCTTAACTATGTTATTCCGGCCCCTATACTACCATTGGCTCCCTTTCTGGAGCCCACGAAGAGGAGCCTTGAGGTAGTCGTGAAGCAAGCTCTCGAACTCATCCATGTCGATGGCCTTGGCCCAAAACAAGAGAATTGGGTTTTCGACTTGGGTACTGCCCCCACACAGAAACAGACCGTAATAGACTGAAAATACTTTTGAGAGCCTTATTATATCATTCAACTGTTTTTGCGTGGGGGGGCAGTATCCAGTGTAGGGGTTTTGAATCGCACGCTTGCAAACGCAAGTACAGCTTCAGGTCAACTCTCTCTGGTCTAGGGATTTTGGTCTTAAGGTTGAAATATTGGCTTGAAGAGAGAAGGGCTGCCGAGATGTTATAAAACCACCTAAAGCTTCGAACTCAATTGTTGCGGCGGGGCACTATGCTGAGATTGTCGGGACTGTTATGAGGGAATGCTGTTCCGAATTGCTCCGCCCTCTGCAGTACCTATGTAGTACGACTGCTTTCGGGGTATGACATAAGGTTGACGTAAAGCTTTGGAGCTCAGGGCATCCTGGAAAATGGCATACCTTTTAGTCAGGATCAGGGTATTCTAGGCTCTGTACGGTATGATAATGATGGGCTCAGGGCTGAGTTTAGTCGTGACTCCACACTCCAGTGGTTCTGACACGTAGAGTTCCGTATCTCTCAGAAGCTTCATTGCCCCTGCTCTGCACAATCCGGGTCTGCAGACAACCGGAAGCTAATGCGGAGGACCACGCGTAAGTGCAGACTTGACCCCCCCAAAGAGGCTCTATGTAGTTTAGATGCCTCAAGCTCCCCTAAACCCACCATAAGCCCTGATGATTTCGGACCGCCCCCTTGCAAGCACCTCTTGTGCCTTAATCATCCGAGGCACTCCGCTGCCATCCTGATATCAGAAAAGAAGGCAACGCTTGGGACTTAGGACTTCTCCCTGGGCCTCAGGGCTTAGGGATTTCTCTAGTAGGCTTAGGGTTTAGGAATTTATCTGTGGTTAAGGACCCGTTAAAGCAGGTTAAGGTGCAGCCTGCCAAATGCCGGTATTGAGGCAATCATCATACCTTAACCTACCAGAACCTACTTTTTTGTAGGGTCCCTAATAAATCCCATATTAGGGCTATTAGGGTTTATAATAAGAACCTACAAAAAAGTGGGTTATGGTAGGTTAAGGTAGCTGTATAAGGACAACAATCAGCCAATTTCTAAATGGTGCTCACAACTTCTCGAAGACAGACCCTGACTGCTTTTGTCATCACTGCCTGCAAGAACCGCTGTGAGGATGGTCCAACTATATACTGCTCTGCTCATCATCGCAGCCGAAGCATAAGAAGTTTTAAATAGAAAAAGAAGAACTCACGATCACCACCAACAAATCGAAACCCAACTTTCCCGGATCCGTCAAGACTGCCATCAAGCTCCCCCAGATGCTAAATCCTCAACCTACTTCCTGAACTTCTGGAGCAGACCGACCGGCGGGTTAAGACGAAGGTTTTTCGATCTCGGGTTTCAAATTTTCCCTTTCGGGTTTAGGGTTTAGGGTCTAGGTGATATGGCCGTATATGTCACGGCAAATGATTGCAGGGCTCGCAAGGGTCCCAAGCCACTGGTGTTCTGAACCGAACTCTATATAAATCCAGACAGTTCCCAAACCCTCAACAACCATGACCGGGTTTAGGCACCCTGCGGGTTGAGGTTGTTACAGGGTTTAGGAGCCCGAAACCTCAACCCTGTCATGTGTTTCTTGCTTGTCATTGCCTCTCCGAGATTACTCTAGACAAGCATTTCTGAGGCAGACTCCCAGGAAAACCTACCGGTTTGGAATTGCATATCTAGGAAATCGGCTGGACCCTGGCAGCCGGAGCACACTTCTCAAAGACCTCCCCGAGCTCAAGGCGTCTGCTTCCAAAATTTCAAATCCTGGGCCCCGAGCCTCATCGTAGCGATCAAAGGCTTCTTTGTAGCGCTCCAGCTGCAGAACATTGATGCCTAACCTCGGAGGTTGTTTCGCGGGCGTCTTGCACCGACTGATCAGGAGTTCAAGGCAAGATGTCGGTTCTAGTTGGACCGCCACCAGGAGATGTCGCTTGCTTCAATCATCATGTTCTAAAGGGTTTGAATGCAGATCTTCGAGAAGTGCACCGCCAGAAACTGCAAGTTTGAAGAGCTACAAGGTGGCATCATCAGCAACTCCTCTAGAATGAAGAGCCCAGCCTGGCAGAGTGAACTTTCAAAACAAGCCCATTCCACACAGCACATGGCTTCTCGGACCCTCGACTCTGGACCCCCCCCCAAAAAACCCTAAACCGTAAACTAGCTGCTGTAGCTACAGCTAGCGGGGAGTCTCCAAGAGATAATGAGGTGAAAGGCAGATTGTCATAGGCACCCTTAGAGGGGGTAAATGGACCTAATAAGGCCGATTTACATTACATAAGGAAGTATAGTCCCCTACTCCCTAAGGGTCCCTATGAGATTGTAAGCGCCACGAGAATTCAGCTTTCGATCAGGCCCCGAAGAGCAAAGCAATTGGAACAGGAGCAAAGGCAGTAATAACAAAACAGTAGTAAGTCATGATGTTATATTGGTGCGAATCTAGTACAAATAGCGATAACAAAAATAATGGGAATTATATTTATAACTACTTTCAGGATGTTCCATATCTGAGGGCAAGACTTCCTCGCAAGGTGGCGGTAAGGGAGATCCTCCTGCGCAGGCTTCACGCAAACTCCCCCATTTCCAGGAGCCGGTGTTTAGAGTTTAGGGCTTAGGGTTTAGACTCCGGTTTAGGGTTTAGGGGTTTAAGGTTTTTAGACCCGAAACCCTAAACCCTAACAAACCCTAAAATCAAGCTGTCCTTTTCTAGTGCTTCTGTCTGAGGCTGAGGCAGAATAGCAAACACGAATGATCATGATCGGCTCTTGTCGCCCTGACGTTGCTACCGTTGGGGTAACGAAGAGTCGAGGTGTGCAAGTGTGTGCAAAACGACGGAAGTACCCACTCATTCTACATGTGCGCATGAGTATAACGTGTGTGTGTGTGTGCGTGTTTGTATGTCTGCATGCGTGTCATGTCTCTTTGCATTCATGTGTGTGGGTGTATGTGTGTGTGTGTGGGTGTGCATGTGCACACAATGATATGTGTGCGCACACACACACATGCTCGCAGGAGCTTCCATGTAGACCTCCACCGCTGGAAGCCAGTGTTTTGCAAGCAAGCTTCCATGCACACATCCGCGCACACACACACACATGCACAGCCAGTGCTCGAAAGCAAATATATACATATACGTGTATATATATATATATGTGTGTGTGTGTAAACATATAT